TTAGTCACCAAGTATCAATTCTATACTATTGACAATTATTGTTAGTAATCATTTTATTATATCTAGAAGACTAGTTTGTGATTGACTGAGTGATTATGCAATGCATACCCTAAACCATGTAGATAGAAATTTAGGGATATTTTATTTATTTTTATATATATAGGCATTCTACAAAATTACGCGTAATAAATATGAAAAAACACTCAATTAATTAAAATATCTAAAAGGAAACATGGAAATCTAATTAACACTGCAGCTTATGGGCCATTACTGCTTTGAATGTTAAAGGTATAAGAAACGGTATTCTGGCGAAATCTAGCTTATCTTAAATTAAATCTTTAATGATAAACGTTAATCCTTCTGTAGATGAAAATTCTCGGTTCAGTAGATAAGATTGTATATCTTATTACTTATAGCTAAGCTAATAATAAAAAGAATCTATTTTATGTTTTCAGTGTGTACACTAAATTTAACATATGTATATAATGGTATCTATAATTATGTATGTTAAAATGCGAAATTAGAATAATAAAGGGATAAAATAATATAGAAATATATAAATATGAAGACAGTCAAATGTTGTGTAATTTACTTATTAGAATGTATAGGAATATTTTGTACTTATACTTAGTTATTAAAAATAAACTCATTAATTTACTACTTTCCTGTATGTATAGTTATTTATATTTCAAATAGCCTTCTGGCTCAGCTGTTGGTGTATGGTAAGTTTTAACGTCAATATTGTTTCTGAAATTTACATTTATAATGAATTAATCCTAATAGTAGTAGTAGTCTAAGTAGACCCCGACTAAACATTTTATAAACTAATATATACGTATTTAAATCACGCACGTGATAGTAGTTTTGTAACACTGGTATCCATTGTCTAAAAATAATTATTTATTTATTTATTCTTTTGCACACAAATTTGTATACATGGCGGGCTTAATGCCGGTAGTACTGCCTGTGATTTTTTTTGTTTGCTATTCTATTTATATAAAAATAATTGTAATGTAGTGTACATGTACAGGAATGTAAAAAATATCAAATTTCGTTGAGCCTAAGATTATAAAATATGCAATCATGTATCTTCATAAGTATAGTAATAAAAATCAAATAAGCACCTACTCTAGAATTTTCTGTAGAAATATTTTCTTGACTCGCAGCAGTTGTAATTAAAATTCTCATGGTGCGGAGTCCCCAACGCTGAGGGCAGGGTGAAACAATGGTTGCACTTTGCAATTAGCTCCGACCCTAACGTATTCATATTGCACGCTCCTAGACAGAAGCCGTATGGAAATACAGTAGTTACTCAGTAGGAAATAATCGGTTTTCTTCACTAGTCAGGCACTGCAATGTCGTATGATTTCGGATCATTATTATTTTGGATTAGATGTTCTAGGTATTCTTGTAGATGTAGTATGTAACTTTATATCTTTTTTAACTTATAAGGAACTCAATATTTCAAGTTATCTTTGTACAAATAGATATCTTACATTAAGATGTCACTTTTAATTATTCACGTAGGTACATGAAGTAAGTAAGAATGATACTAGGTGATACCTAATATAAAGTTTGCCAGGACGCTTAAAGAGTTTCGTTGTGTAGGAGATTGCTTGCAAAACCTACCTAATTTATTAAGCAAATAAAGTCAATGAAATAAAAAGTTGGAATAAATTATTACAGAATTATTTTGAAAACAAGTCTATGCTATCTATATATATACGAATCTCTAAGTACATATTTAATTGCAGTAGTTTTATAATATTAATAAATTAATTCATCCATTCATGTTAAAATTCTAAATGTAAATATTTGCTAAAATATTAAAAAAACATTTAGTAACCATTAAGGATTTTTAATACTATGGAAAAATATCTTATATATTACATTTGGCACTGTCTACTAGTCTACGTAAGACGGATTTGGTTCAACCTCCGGTTAAATTTTCTTAAGAGTATACCTACTAAGTATTTGAGTTAATAAACTAGTGCTTAAGTTGAAAAGTACATTTGTTCTTAACCCTTGAAGAGTTGCCAAGATTTCCTGTTACCACGGCCTTACGTCGGCTTATACTTCAAACAATTGAAACCCGGTATTCTATTTACTTTTTCCAACTCCTCGTGGTAACGCATCAGGAACAATGAAATTTTATATAAGAAAATATTTACTGCATTAGCTGCATGGATATTCTCTATATGATTTGTATATATGTAGGTATTAGAAGCGGACATTTTTGTAAGTATTATCATAACATTAAGTATAATTATCACTCTAATTATAAAAGTAGGTATCTACCTACTTAATATTTTTTAATGAATATATAATAATTTATTTTTGTACTGTTCTTTTAATAAACCCTCAATATTTAATAGATTAAAAAAAAAAAAGCCAATCCATTACCTTACCTAAGTATATGTGCCTATAGTTAATAAAATCAGTTATCGGAAATCCAATGTATTGAAATAATTTACGAGAATAGACAGACCCAATCTTCCGTATGATAATACAAGTGTAGATACAATAATCACATGAAATTACCTTACCTAATTAATTTATCTCTAAACTAACTTTCATATAGGCCATTTGGTGCACTTAATTGGCAATTAAAGAAATTGGTACCATATTAAAAGCATTTTACGTGTAGGTAAGTAGATATATTGTACGCGGATACAATCGGGGCGGTACCTCGGAAATCGACCCTTTTATAAAAGACATACATATTCTCGTTTGCGTTCCAGACTAATTAGAACTGGCGCTTTGTAAAAAGCCCTAATAGGCTTGCCATCACCTGGTAATTCGAGGCAAGTAGGTATGCTGTTATGTCAGGTTTGCCAATTAATTGTTGGTAATATGTAACAAGATCAAAAACAACAAACTACATGTTGTATAAAATACCTAATCTAATTATTTCGTCCGTCTCTGTTGCCTTGCCGAGGTATGGCGAACAGACAGATTTAACAGATTCTCGTAAAAAAACGACCTGCCCTGAGAAATTGTATCTATTGTAGTGAACTGTCTAGTGTTCACTTAGGGAAAGATTACAACGTTAGCAAAATATAGTTGACCTATATATTATCTCAACCTTCTAGTAGCAATGGTACAGATGACCTACCTGACCTTATTATACATACATACAAGAAAAATCTAGCACCAGTATAGTCCGGGTACCTACTCATAATTTTGAGTTTAGTATATTGAAATACTGTATTAGATATTAAAATATACTGTATTAGTACTTCAAATAGTGAATGAATTTCTCAAACTAGTGTGGGGTCCTGGATCTTTTTTCCTCATAAAAAAATTTGCGCATTCCATAAGGAATCTATAAAGATTGCATTATGAAATTTCCTACTAACGTCGCAAGTATTCCTTTCATCTTTGCCATTCACCAATTCCTATTGCAAATTCTTCTACTTGATTAAGAGAAGACTATGTGTCTTAGATTGTATATTCAAAAAGTGTCCTATGCTTTAGCTAAGGTCTGCAATCCTGCGACAAAATGCTGCAGCATTTCGAATGAAAATTATTATTAAAAAATGCAAGTGCCAACCCTGTACGTTTCACTATATTAGCACCTATCCAGCACCCACCAGTTATAGTTATGAATGCCTTCTTACTATACACATTAATTAGAAATGACGAATGAAAAGAGCAACTCTGACTCTTCGACGTGTTTTTATCGAAGGCCATATGTGACTGAAAGCAATCATTTTGTCAATGTAATAGGTACACTATATCACGTCGTAATTGTACATTTATGCGTATTTAACGATCTAGGACTTTTGATAAATTATAGGTATTTATCAAGTCTTATATATTTGAAATAAATCTCTTACAATGAAAAAGTATCATCAAAATCGATGTTTATATCAAGAAAATAGTACCTACCTATATAATAGAGAAAGGAGTAGTTAAGGACATTGAAAATACATGAGAAACAATTACATACATTCAATTACTAATTATGTAGAATGACTCCAGATTGGTTACTGATATAATGCACGTTTTTAAGCATATCATTCTGGTCTTGTTTCAATCATCAAAAACATTATACTTACTTTGACATAGATATGCATTCACCTTCGTTTTCATACATTTTCAGACTAAGCATCAAGTTTCTCCGCATACATCTAACGCAAGGAATTATCATAAAGTGGTCTCTATCGTTCCGAGAAAATCTTCCAGATTTAAATGTACCTGTAATACATGTCTATACATAGTTATCAGGCTTCCATTAAATACTGGGTGTAAAGTGAAGGTGCGGAAGGGTGAATCGCTAGGTTTTTTAATAAATTTAACTTCCTTTCTCTCAATTTATTAGTTGCTTATGTTGGTATCATCTTTAGTACTTTTAGAGTTCCCTTTGTACTTTCAATGCTTATTTTATCTAATTTCGTTACCGTACACATTCAGCTTAGCATTTATTTATAAAAATCAGAGATAATTATCTACCTATTTTCTAAACAAAATCCCCAATCGTGTTTAGTTAAAGTCGTGACTTTATATTGACAATAATCTAAAAATAAAAAAATCTATTGAATGGGGTCTCATGCGGTTTTCATCAATCAACTGTGATTTCTGATGTTTATATGTATAATTCGCTATGGTTTTGAATAAGCAAGACGACGGGAATGCCTAGTTATAAATCAAACTTAATGCGAGTAATATTGCAAAAGAACCATAAGTAGGTTAGTTAGGTATTGTGATTACAAATTATTCTATCAGTTAGTAAAGTGCATGCAGCTTACTTCAATAATATATCACGCAATGCAATATGGCTTCTATTACCCAGACTTAGAATTTCTTTTCGACATTTATGTATGATTAGGGCGCCATCTGTGTGATGCTAAAAGGTTTCGAAATTAATCAGTGTCTACAGGAGCTTAGTCATAATGTAGAACATATTTAATTTACAGTATTTTTGTTAATGACCATCATGAACTATTGTCAAATTTAGTGTACTAAATTAAAAGAATAAGAGATTATATAGAAGAGTATGATTTTATTTGGTAAAAAGCTGGAATGCAATATTAAATGCCATTAGTTTATATAGAGACTCCAGCCAACTTATACAAAAATAATTAAAATTACTATTAATTAAGGTTAATAAAATATTACTCTATTTTATGAACTCATTTTTAACATAATACTTAAAATACATGTATTGCATATTGTGCTATATGGAAGTACATAAAACTTTAATTTGGCTTGGCTCAAATGTTGTAATAAAAATAATAAAAACTATGATACTTAAAGTAACAGGCTAAGTATTCCTTGTAAAATGCTCTTTATATTTAATAAATTCATAACACTTAATTATTACATAATAATGAATCTACATTATTATAATTTGACTTAATACTGACAATAAATAAAGGCAATAATTATGTCATGGTGCCAAAAACAGGGTTGTGCCGACAGATACTAGGTCCATACTCCATGTATGCTTGTTTAGTATGGCACACTTGGTAAAACTCTGGAGTAGAACCAAGCATGCTGCCACCAAACCAGACTGCATACCGTTGCATGTAGTGAGAAATTACTTGAACATCAATTGGTGTTGGGGTGATGCGGCCTTCAGACAACATTGTAGAAAGCTTCAGTCGTGCATCCACAGTTCGTTTTATATCTCTCTGTAATCTCCTACCAAAGTCACGGAACATTGTTGATCCTCCAGATAGAACAATATTTCCATACAATCCTCTTCTTACATCTATTGGACAAGACTGTATAACTTCATCCACCATCTCATTAAGAGGCACAGTGAAATCAGGATTTGAGAACTCTGGGTGGAAAAATATCTCAGGTCCCAAAAATCTTTCATAGCCAACATCAACTGTGAATGGATTTTTAGTTATAGCATTCACACCAGTGTACTTCTTCATCCATTTAGCTGGATCTGAGTCATATTTAGCAAACTCTTTGGCAATATCAGGACAAATGTAACTGAATCTCTCCTTGATAGCTTTTGCAGTCTCCAAACTTTGCTCCGGTGGTATTCCAACTTCACGTTCACGAAGAAGTGACTGAATAAATGAAGTGATATTCCTACCAGCGACAGGAATATGTTTGATGCAGGAACCAATTACATAGCCCTCAGCTACGGGTACAATGTGAGTAACACCATCTCCACTATCAACTACAATACCCGTAAAGGTACGCTGTGCTGGTGCTCGTGACTTCCACGAGGCAGCGAGCGCTAACATTGCTTGCACAGCAATGTACAATCCAGGTACATTAAATGATTCAAACATTATTTCAGCCAAATACTCTCTATTTTCGGGTGTGTTCAACGGAGGTTCAGTGAGCAAGAAATGATGGTCTTCCGGTTCCGCTCTCAAGTATTTGAATATACATTGTTCAATATACCTTTCCATTAAATCCCAGTCCTCTACTAGGCCGTGGCGTACGGGATACTTAACAGCGTACCCTGTCGCATCGAATGCTTCATCTCCAATGAAGAAATCCAGGTCCTCAACGGCTTTCGTCATGCGACGAGTGGATTGATCACCAACTTTCGCAGTTTCTTTTATAGCGATGGCCGACGGAATGATAAACTGCGGTTCCTTGTTGCCGGCGAAGCCCAGTTTTGTATACCCGGTGCCGACATCGATAACACAAGCCGGCAAATGGTCCATTTTGATGAATTATTTTCAATTAGAAAAGTAAATGTTAACATTAACCAATAATAAGATAAAAATTGGGTGCGGTAAACTAAACGATACTTATTTTTGACATAAGGAACGTCATTTATCAGTTGATGATTAATTTACGTTCCATTTGTACACAACTTATCTCACAACGATAAATTAAAAGCAATCGGTTTTAGAGCCAATTATAATTACTAATGTTTTATATAGTTACAATATTTTTAATATTACATTGTTCATAAATTATCTCATATCATCATGTCCATCCAGCAAAATAATTCCTTCGTTTCTATAACACGTTCTTTTTTACTGTGGTTATCTAGAAAAATGTGTGTAATGGAACGGGCCAGTAATACCAGCTACTACACCAGCCGGTTCCTGTGCCAAAGTTGCCAACTCGTATTATAAAGTTCAATGCTTACTATAATTTATCGTGACCTAATAACAATAATTTAGCTATTGTTATTTTAATATATGATAATTAAATCGTCCACTCGCCTACACTGACGGGGCACCATTGAAGAATAATAAGATGACGATTACTTTCGATCGTGCCAGGTCGATATGACGATCACTTCTGACTTCACTGGTGTCCGTATTGGAACTTTGTTAAATTTATGTCCGACCGTTATTGGTAGAAGACAATTTTATATAAAGAAATGTCTTCTATTGTTCGTAAATTTTTATTTTGATGTGTTGTTTGTGAGCCTTGTTACTTCTACCAGTGGCACTCAATGAGGAAGTAGCCATTATTATTGCTAAAAGTTGCATATAGATGGCGTGATTGGTATCGATGGAATTCTTCATAGTTTTGCAAACGTTTTAAAAAACAAAACTGTGTTTTCAAAAATGTTTAATCAATTTTTAAAAAGTTATATATACATGTTAAAATGAAATAATGCGTTTAGAAAAGTAATTTTCATATATTTACTCATTTTGTTATTTTTCAGTACTTAATTACACTTTAATCAGTGCTAATATGGGGCTCAATGTTTTCAAAATGCTTTCATAGATGGCATTGTCGTCATTTGTATCGGCCTAATTAAATGTCTTTTTATATTTTCCAATAATAAGCACTTAATATATTATTATTGTAAATTAAACATATAAAATTTTTTTAAGTAAATTAAAAATAGCCGAACAAGCAAGTAATACTATTTCCAATAATACTTATGTATGAAGTGTTGTCATATTAAAAATAAATACATGTATTATCGATTTTTTCGAATAATCGATAGCAGGATTTTATTACAGCGCATTATTCGATGATGCTTTTAATGAGTCGTTGTGAACAGTAAATTTTCATTATTTTGTATTATAGCAGTGTTCCGTTTCAAAGAACGGAATATAGTAGTACATTATTAGTGTCGTTGGTTATTTACATTTGTACTGTAAAATCGATTACATAATAATTTAAAATATCGAGTACGAATCGTAGCTGTCTTCGAATACTGGCAACTGGTAAGATTAAAATAGTATTTAAAAAAAGAGAGAAATCGACCCTAACTCGAATACCATAAAGTTGATTTTCCTTTCTCATTAATATCATAGCAGTTTGTTTTTAACTTGTGTATGACTCTGTGGTATGATGTTTAACGAGTATTGTTATTGTACGGTGCATACATTTCAAAAATTATATTTTAATGTAGGTACATACATTTCTTTCATACATTTCATACATGTCAAAAATTATCTTTTAATGTAGGTACACACATTTCTTTCATACATTTCATACATGTCAAAAATTATCTTTTAATGTAGGTACATACATTTCTTTCATACATTTCATACATTTCAAAAATGAACTTTTTATGTAGGTACATACATTTCTTTCATACATCTCATACATTTAAAAAATTATATTTTAATGTAGGTACATACATTTCATACATGTCAAAAATTATCTTCTAATGTAGGTACATACATACATTTCTTTCATACATTTCAAAAATGAACTTTTTATGTAGGTACATACATTTCTTTCATACATCTCATACATTTCAAAAATTATATTTTAATGTAGGTACATACATTTCATACATGTCAAAAATTATCTTTTAATGTAGGTACATACATTTCTTTCATACATTTCATACATTCCAAAAATTTCATACATTTCAAAAATTATCTTTTAATGTAGGTACATACATTTCACACATTTCAAAAATTTCATACAATACGTTTCTTTCATACATTTCAAAAATTATCTTTTAATGTAGGTACATACATTTCATACATTTCAAGTATCTTTTAATGTAGGTACATAACACCCCATGTCAGACCCTTGTATTTGGAAGAAACTTAAAAATATTAGATGAATATATTTTTAATACGAATATTGTTTTATTTTTGTTCATCAACTTTATCCCTCACTAACAATACTAGTAGTAGTACATAACCTGGTTTATACCGCTAAAGATATTGAAAGATATACGAGTAATTCAGAATGTTATCAAGTTCAAAATAAGCACACATTACTTGCTTAGATAACAGAGTAATATTACTCGTAATAAAAACATTTGTAACACCCATATGTACCCATATACTACGTATGTATAGTAAGTACTTACGCTGCGGCGCCGTGAGACTCGTCTACCTCATCTACTCATCTACGCACGGTAACCGCGCCGACCGACCAATAGGAGCGCGCCTCTCGTGTTTCCAGAAAGTTCGCGACTAACGGACGATATAGTAGTAAGGCAATGAGTGTCCCAGTGACATCATTATAATATTTTCTCATTAAATTTTATTGTAATATACACAATTTCGCACTAAATAACGTGTTACCCCGTTACACATTTCTAATAATGAAAAACCTAGACCGACCCTGTTCACTTAATCTTACAAGATCTGACTTTAAAAATTACGATATCCTCATATAGCCTTTCATTTCCCCTTTCAATACTTTTTCGCATTAAAAAGTAGCCTTTCTCAGGGTCTACATTATCTGTCTACCAAATTTCAATTAAATCAGTTCAGTAGTTTTGCCGTGAAAGCGAGACAAACAGACAGACTGAGTTACTTTAGCATTTACAATATTTGTAAGAATATCGCTATTAAAAATAGGGGTTGGTGAAAGACGGGTGAAAATTTAGGCGTGTATGTATTTTCAATGTAACATTATAAATAAATAAAAAATTGTCCATAATACAAAAAAATATTTTTTCGGGGTAGGCCACCCCTATGACTTAGGGGTATAAAAAATAGATAACAACCCTACCTCAGACCTGGCAAGTATACATATCAAATTTCATCAAAATGTGGGAGAAATATGGCAACTAACACTGTGATACAAAATTTATATATAAGATATAGCGGAATTCTCATTAGGTAAAAGAGGGGTACATCGTAGAATACATGAGGTATATACCAGTAAATTAATTGTAGCTAAAATCAGTCTCATACATATAACGATTGAAATAAAAAATCGTATAGCCCGATTTTGATACGTACGAGTATAAACGTATCAAAATCAGGCTATACGTATAGCGCAGACGCGTTACAACATATCAAAAAAATAGGCATGGAATGTAAAATAAACCATAACAACATAATATATACATTGGCACATAAGCCATATCTGCAGAGTGTCGGCTAACGATATTATACCTACACATTTACATTGAATCTTGAATCGTCCCTAATGAGGTACACGATACAGTTACCTACATATCTATTATATACATATCTTTGCAAAACAGATGTCATGTAGACTGAATTGACTGCCATCTATTTTCATGCTTTGTTACTAAGCACCCACTAGTAATCCGAACTGCTTCAGATCTAGCGACATCTAGCGGCTACGGTGGCGAAATAAAATAGCCCGAAGAATAGATTAGGAAGGAACCATTTTCTTGTATGGGATGGGGTATCTGTATGTAATATTATGTTATCTGTGCTTTTACCAAATATATATGTTTTACTTTTATATTTTATATATATTTACTGCCGCTGCGCATTCAATCCCTACAGTCCAGACAGCATAAACCAATTTCATTATCATCCACAAGAAATATATTTGAAGTACGAAATAAATTATTTCAATATTTTACATTTAAAACGAATCTAGTTGCTGTATGAATGTCTATAAATATAGTATGTTCTAGATATATTTTTACGGTAGGAAACGGATAGATAATCGTTTCCCGTAAAGTAACCACAGTAGTGTGCATCATCTAATATCATATACAATTTGGTACGACTATGGTATAGACAAAAATAAACAAAACTTTAATGAGTATGTTTAAAAATAAAAAACAATAAAATATAAAGCAGGTTGATATATTTATTGTGACCTCGTTTTATTGTTACAGCTATTTACAGAATTTACATTACAGGAATGTAACAATACTACGCAAAAATATCTAACAAGAATATCACGTACTCTTTTTAATTTTAAAGCTCAACATCTTAATTATTTAACGCTTTTACAAATGTTTTTATTTGAAACAGATTGATTTTAACATCTTCATATAGGTATAAACCATCTGACAGTCGCTCGTGTTGTTCGATTCGCAGCATACACTGTCAAACAGATCATAAATAATTGCAAATACAATTTCAATATAAAATGGATTTGTTAATTAGAGCGTTATATAATCAAGCTGTATATGTATATAACATCGGCTTATAATAGGTAATTGTCATTATTTTTTTATAGATACCCATTTTGCCACAAGAAAAGCTGTTTAATTATATGAAATAAACAATGTGTAATGACACATGTAACAAAATGAAAAATACAATAATTTTGTTAAATAAATAAAATATTTTGGTATAATAAGTAGGTATAAGTAGGTACATTATATAACTATTAGTTATATAATGTACCTACTTATTATTTGTTAAAAAATAAACTTTGAGTTAGTATGAAAGATAATTCTAACAAATATTAAAATAATTATTTACTAAAACTTCCCTCTTGTTCATAAATATCTAAAACATCTAATAAACCTATTTTAATATATGTCCATCCCTATTAAACAATTTTAATTTTAAAGACAGTGACAAACCACTCCTATATCTAAAATGGATTTACTGGAGGCTTATAGCTTTATAAATAAGAGGGGTTATTTATTTTACAAGATTCCTCAAAATACAGCTAATATTAAAAAACTATAATATTTTAACAAATAATGAATTATTTATTTTGCCATCATATATTAAATATTTATTTTCATATATTATTAGTGTTAAATGAGTAATGGTGTAATTTCGTTGCGTAATGCTTAAATAGCTACAATCGACTTTGGGTAGTTTAGGCGATACCCTGGTCAATAGGTAGCCAATGTTTCATATTTCTTAATAACATTGTGATTAAACATGATGCGACATTTAATTTTTTTTAAATATAATTTTACTTTACTTTTCAATAAATATAATCTATTTATTATAGGGTAAAACCAAAAAATATTACTAATGTAATGTGAAAATTATATAAAAAAGATAACAAATACAAAATTAATTCTTTTGCAAATCAATATTCATTAGCAACACTAAAATTATTCCAATATATAAAATTAATATTTTTTCTATTAACTTTCTACAGCAAATTAAAAAAAAAGTATATATTGTGCCATTATAGAATTCAGAATTATCTTAAATATATTGGAATAATGTTACTTATACTTTGGTTGAAAATTTGTCTTTATGCCTTTTGTACACAGGAAAATAAAAATATCATGTGTCCATAAAAAATATTTATAAATTATAATTTTCTTAGTCTAATAATTACTTAATCCATAACATCGAACAGAGTGTTCATATTGTGTATGTATTTATTTTAACAATAAAAGCATTAAAATATTTAAATCTCCAAATTTACAACAACGTTCCACTTTTGTATGTTTATGGGTACAATTTTTATTTATCTTATAACCAATCAGAAATTTATTTTAATGTAAACAATTTATTGATATAATAAATGTATAATTTAACTTTCTTTAAACTATAATTTTAGTATTTCCATTGTTTATGCTGTATCTAAAAATAAATTAGATAAGATCTATTATAAATGATAACATTAGAGAAGCAAATTAAGAAAAAAAGACATCCAGATAGGCAAAGTCCAAATATTTGTTTACAATGATTGCCTATTTAGGCACAGAGCATAATAATACGATCCTGTTAATTGCAGTGAAATTAGATTTAAAGAAGTGTAAACTGAACTTTGTGATTTTTACATTGACTATTCCAGTATAATGCAGTGATTACTTTTGTGGTCTTTAATTAAATAACAGCACCACAGTTACTGCCTAAACACATGTATAAATTTGTAAAGTAAACAGTAAAATAAAGGCTTTTATTATTGTTATTATTATTTTTATACATATACAATCATAGAAGTAGTGCATGAAATATCAGTACTGCCAAATTTTTCAAGTAAAAAACGAGAATTAAATGTTGTAAATATGTATTATTGTTTCCAATACCAATACATTAACAGATTTGTGACAAATAAGTGACCTACCTCTTATTAACTTAAATAGTTGATAAGTGCTATTATAAATACTTTAATGCATTGGATGAATACATAATATTGAAAAATATATAATAATATACATATATTTAGATATCACATATTTGCGACAGTCATTATTCAATAATTTCTACCGTTTTTGGATACAAGAATAATTTCATTGAAGGTAAACTATAAATAAAGAGATTCATGGAGTTCACATAACACAATACATATGTGATATGTACCAAATTTTAATATTTAGAATTTTAGAGTATTGATTACGATCCAGATCTGTTGTACCCATTGCATACTGCTACATAAGTGCTCATACTGATTATAATCTGATTTGACTGCTAATAAATATATAGATATATAAATAAAAACTACAATAATCAATAATCTGGCATCACTGATACGCATAATCATAAAGTCGAATTTAATATAGACTACTCAACCAAAGATTCTTCTAGTTTCTGCACGAAAACTTAATTGGTAATTAAGTTTAATAAAAGATTTGTATGGAGATGTGTTATATTCTTATTTTTAACATTGGTCAATCTTTAATGCCTTGGTTGTGAAGAATCGCGCCTCTCGTACTGAATTATGTCTGCGAAGAATCACAGGTGTAGTTTTTTAACAGAATGTACTGGGTTCTAATAAATTTGCGACAATTGTCATGCCAATATTTTGAATCAGTATTATTAAAATCGTTAGTAATTGTAACATGCATGTAAAAATGAAGAATCTTAGTTATCTGCAACTTAATACAGTGAAATATAATAGACATATGACAATCGAGAACATAATAATTATATAAAAAAATGCCATTTATAATAATAATGAAGATAGGGTTAGTATGATTATTGATAAATATAACAAAATGTAACTTTATAAATGAAAATGTATTACATGGGTAATACTATGTATTGAGATAGGTTGTATGTATTATACAAAATTTATAATGTAAATATTAAACAACATTGAATACCAAAGAAGCCCCGGTATGTACCCACTCTGGTAGTCGGTTATCACTAACACTAAAGTTCCAATTGCTTTCAGACTTAGATTAAGTAGGTATACACAAAACCACAACATATCTTATTATACAAAAATTTTGTTTGCTTTGTATCGTCTCTTACAGTTAATAATAAAGGCAGCCTCTAAATCTCTCACCACATTGTGTAGTCAGAGTCATCCATATCGAAGATTGTAAAGAAACCAAGAATAGTCAGGTAAACTATTACATTGCCAGCAATTGTTAAACAGCATGCTCCCAATTGAATCTGTAAATAATTATTTATGAAATAATAGGTAAGTATTATTATAATAAAGTATCTTTTTAACAGGATCAGAAATTATGAAGTTATATATTATTATCTTTATCTCATGAACAATAAAAAGATTTAACATCAATAAAATGATTATTTATATTAAAGTTTTAATAAAATAGTAATAAACTTCAAATCCACTTTCAAAATTATAATTTTTTATGATGATATTATTTAACAGGATAATAATTATGGCATTAATTAATAGTTATTATTATTACTAACCGCCTCTGCTCGAGTGAGAACTATAGGTAGTGCAAACGAACTGACAATAAAGCCCATAGTTATGAAGATTGCTGCTTCCATACATGGTGAGTTTGTGCCACCAGTACTGTCACTGTGCCGCCGTGCTATCATAGTTGGTATTGGACACAGTACGTAAAACAATACCACAAAGAATGGCCACCATATTCTGGAATAAAACATATTGCAAATTGTATAGAATTCTAATTGTTAAAATATTTTTAAATTAATGTTTATTTTGTTCTAAAATAAATTTCAAATAGTTATGAGTCTTTATACAAAAAATATTTAATTGAAATCAAATGCAATATTTGTAATATTTCGAAAATCTAAAAATATTAAAAATACTATAGAGTATTACCTAAGTAAAATATGTTATGAATTATTTTGTAAAAAAAAGTGATCTAAAGAATGAGAATGTTGCACTATATTTCAGTATACAGGAAATTCTTAAAAAAGATAAAAGAAAAGTAGATACAATAATTATCACTTTGTCATAAGATGTGCAATACCAAAAGACTAGCATACTGAGCTATTGGGAGAGGAGCTATTTGATACAAGAGTAGTCTATGCTACAAATTGTATTTTATTAATTAAATAAATAAATGACTAATAAAATGAATTTCATTCATACAATATCATAGACGATCTCACTAATGTACCAAACAATGTCTACTTAGCTTGGGACTATATTATGCTGTGTGAATTGTCCAGTTTTATTATTATATTATGTTTATAGGTGATGAGTATCACATTTTACATAAAAATATGTTTAGGTAAAACAAGCATTATTTAGCTATGATAAGAATAATTCCCTGGTTAGAGAACACCCTATATGATTAATAACACCAAAAAAATATTTTGTATATAATACAACTAGTATCAAATACTATATAAATGGATAATTATCATATACATTTGAAAACTATGCTGAATGTTAACAAATTTCTAATAAAATTTATTTCTATGACAATATATTTAGAAGTCATTATTTTAATTATTTATATAATTAAATGACTAGTTACTTACTTGTACTGTGGTAAAGCACATGCAAGAATGACAAATGTCATTCCTATGGAACCCAAAAACGCCAATGACACCAGACTGAAAAAAATGTTGTTATTGATTGTACTTTAAAAAATATATTCCTATGTAAAATAAACATTTAAACAACCCAGAGTGTACTCCTAAGAAAAATTAAAAGTTAAGCATATTGTTGAGTAAAGTTCTTGAGCTATTTTACATCTTTCCGATGTGAATGATAATGATAAGAAGATTAAGAAAACAATACATGTACAATGTTCATGTGACCATATTACTCGAGTTGTAGGTTAATAACTGCTTTAATTCGCTATTAAGTGGCAAGGGAATAACACTGTAATAAGTTATTATGTACCTAATAAAAATTTTCATTACAATATGTACCCGATATTACTAAATGAAATAGGTATTTGCAGTGATCTAGATGGCTAAAAAGGTGAGTCACAAAGAAAGGGAAACTGTTTGTTTAGATATACAAATATGTTGTTTATTAGTGTAAACATTATACTCACCCTAATCATTGTTGTCGACGATTACATGAAAGGAAGAAAATAATAAATTAGAACGGTAATTGTTGGTAAATATTGTGTCATACGAAAAAATTAAAATGACTTTCACATTGTGGATTAGAACTATGTTACAACATAATAGAATTTCGGCAACATACCTTTTATACCAGCCATTATGCTTATCAATAAATTATTAGCTTAAAATAAATGGGAAGGAAAATTATACAGATATTTATAAAAATCACAAACTTCAAACTTCACTGCTCTATAATAAATATCACTCAAAAAAATATTATTGAATGAAACGAATGAAAGTAGACTCGTGAAAAATATCGATGCATCACTATTCGATATTGTCATATGGTTTACATACAGCATGTACTTTCTCTATGTTATCGATAGATGCGTTTTTGAAGAACTTCATATACGAAAATAAATACAAATAAACATACAAACATTGTATATTAATTTAGCCTGTAATTCTGCTCTATTAATGAGATTTAAAATATATTATAGTTTTTTTATCCATTTACCAAAATTAAGAATTACAATCTTAACCACTATCGACTGCAAAGTGGTCTGTGGAGTTAAAAGATTCGTAAACACAAATATAGTATCTGTGGCTTCTGTGGTTTGTTAGCATTTTTCATGCTAAGTTAAAACTTTTTTTTATTTATATTTAACATTACTTATTATTGCTTTTGTTTAATATTTTAATTTAGTAATTAATTCATGATTTAAGTTATAATAAAAATGGATGACGATGCGGAAACATACAAACTGTGGCGAATTAGAAAAACTGTTATGCAGGTTAGGTTATATTATCTTTATATGAAAAACAATTAAACAATACATAATAACACAATTTATATATTGCTTACTTTTCTCTCTAACGAAACTAGAATTCAAAAAGATATCAAATTTTAATTTAATATTGATATCATTTTTTTGTATACATAAAATTTGTGTTTTTAAGAAAAGAAAAGATTAGGATTGATAATTCGGGCATTTGGGGATATTTATGCTAGATAGATCTGTAGTCATCAGAGATCAAAAAAAATATTAAGGCAACATTGCATATAGCGATACTTGTCTTCTTGCCTTACACTATAAAAAATTTTACGATAGCCTGATGATATTTTATATGCCACATAATAAATAAAAGAAAAACAGCTAACTAAATGGCTCTTAGACAAACTATTCTATAGTGTTAAATTATAAATTTCAATTTCAATAACATTTTCAAATTCAATAATTCATTATACGCTATTGTATTGATATTAAAATAATTAAAATAATGTAGTGATCAATATAATATTATTGATATTAAATTTATTAAATACTGGCTGTTACCTGTAACTATGTCTAATATACATTAATTTCAAATTTGTGAACAATGTACTTTTGTTATTGTTGTAGCTTTGTCATGATCGGGGATATTTAGTAACCCAGGATGAGTTGGACCAAACATTGGAGCAGTTTAAAGAACAATTTGGTGACAAACCAAGGTTGGTATAACAAACATACCTATGTATAATCTAGCTGTCTCAGATATGGTCCTTTCTATAAGGTTCTTTTTAATTTTGTGATCAATAATCTGCATATTTAAAAAAATAATTTGTTTTGTAAATAAATAAACATTGACATTATTGGCATTTGTCTATTGTCTCTTTTTATAACAAGTGTCCTCAAGATGAATATATTTCACAAAGTAAAAGAAAAATAATATACCAGTGTCATTTATATTTATTTATATTTTGAAAATATCCAAATAGGTCCTTTAATTAATGGTGAATTCTTGTGAAAATTCGATTTATTGTATTTATTATGTATTAATAATTTATAATACTTATTTATTTTAAGTTTGTCTTGTAAAGTAAATCTACTTGACTGAATGAAATGTAACATGCATTTTTATAACTTCAATTTCCATTAATTATATTCTAAAAAGAATTCCTATGTTCATAAAAAAAATGAAATAAAAAAATTTTGAATGGTTTATATTTATATTTTATTTTATGGCAAAGACAATGTGTTTACAATACATTAATTGAGAGATGTTTACGTAAGCACGGGTGGAGGGGGTAAGAGCTTTGCTTACTTTTGCTGACAACGGGGGATGGGGGGTAAATAATTGTGATAAATCTTGATATATCTGTATTTTATTTTATTTGTTTACAGTGAGAAGCGGCCGGCTCGTAGTGACTTGATTGTCTTAGTAGCTCACAATGATGACCCTACAGACCAAATGTTTGTGTTCTTCCCAGATGAACCTAAAATTGGAATTAAAACTATTAAAACATATTGTACTAGAATGCAAGAGGAAAATATTCATAGAGCTATTGTGGTGGTTCAAGCAGGTAGCAAAATAATTTAAATTATATATCTAACATCAATTATTTATATGAGACTACTAATTAAAATTACTTATAAGTACATATAACAGATATTTCAAAATATTTAAAAGTATTATTGTATAAGATGTTTTAACCATTAATATGTATTAACTATATTTTAACAGTACATATTAGTTAAAATAGCAGTTTTTCTTGAGAGCAACTACGGTTACTATTAACTCCCCTATTCGAGAACTGTATTGAGATATTGTAAAAAGAAGTATTTTTACAACATTTCAGTAATATATTAAAATCTGTTGCATACATGGTATAACAATGGTATAAGCAAACACAGAAAATATAAAATACGACTTTGTTTATTATTATTTGTGCATTACACTTTCCACACTTATTCATTTTGTTATTAATATATTTCTTTCAGGTATGACACCATCAGCAAAACAGTCATTAGTGGATATGGCGCCAAAGTATATTTTAGAACAGTTCCTTGAGTCTGAATTACTGATCAATATAACAGAACATGAACTGGTTCCAGAGCACATAGTTCTAACTCCAGATGAAAAACAAGAGCTGCTTGCTAGATAGTATCCTTTTATTATTTTGAAGACACAAATATTAACGATAAGTCATATATTTGATCATTTTTATTAGACAGAATAGTTATGGTAATATATTTATTTATAGTAGTGGTAGCCTAATGGTCAACCATAATTAATGTACGAAATTTTTACTTCACATATTTAATATGATGAAATGACTCCAGAAGTAATCTAAAGAAACTATTTTCAATATAAAATATCTCAAAAATAGAATTCTTAAAATATCTTACTGTACTTGTACTAAAACAAATTCAAATTGTGCTATTATTTTCAGAAGAAATATATATTTAATATACCTTAACATGTACACAGCAAATTAAAGGAGAACATGTTGATGAGAATACAGGCTGGTGATCCCGTCGCTAGGTATTTTGGACTCAAGAGAGGACAGGTTTGTAAATTGATGTATTTAAATATATAAAATACTAGCTGTTAAACGCAACTTCATCAGCTGTTATTTTAAATAAAAGGTCTATATTGTTCCTTTTCAAACAATAATCTTCACATCACATTTTATTAAGATCTATTTAGCCATTTTATTATAGCAATGTAAGTAATAAAAAGATACATTTTTGCATTTATAAGGTTAGTATTAATATACTATATTGATTTTTTAAATTGCTTTTTTAATATGAAAGACAAATATTGTAGAAATTCACGAATTTTTTTTTTTACATTTTACTAAAAGGATATTAGGATACCTATATATTAAATTAGTTTCATATTCGTGTAATTGTGTATGATGAAAATTCAGTTTAGTTTTCCTGTAAATTCGTTGATTGTAGTAATAACGTGTGTCGACAATGAATTAATGTTTCGTTTATGATTTATGTGTATACAACTATTGCATGAACTAGTTGCACATAAAGTTATGAATTTTGATGATATAAGTAAGTTTAGCAATGAATAATGCAATGACCCATATCAGTAGTGATTAATTGTTGAAAGGATGTTCCGGGCGGAAATTTTTAAATTTTTCTCATTTATTTATCGCCTTGATGTTTCGTTATATTACCGGACTACTGAAGTAATTCTCGTTCTACAATATTAAGTGCTTTGGCGATTTTTATAGTTCCATATTTCGTGGCCAATTATGGAACTGACTGTTACCGATGTTTTAGATACTTTTATGTTTCATACTTCTTAAGTATACTTCTTCTTTCTAAGTCCTATGTTTTATATAGTACCTAGGTACAATATGGGATTGGATTGAAATTGAGATTATACTACAGAGTAGACTTTTTTTATCATATATATATGATAAAAAAATATATATTTAATTATCTTCATTATTTAATTTTTTGCAGGTCGTGAAAATTATCAGATCATCGGAAACAGCCGGAAGATATATTTCATATAGATTAGTTTGTTAAGTCTAGGTTTATAATTGATAAAAGTCCAATAAAATTCCATTTCTATACATTTATTGTTTTCTTAATGTCTACTTAATTACACAGTTATCTAAGCTACATATTTATTATATTCATAAGAATGAGGACGGTAACTGTTTAAAATTTAAATAATTTACGATACGCTGATATAATAATAAGTAAATCTGGAATGACTGGAAGAGAACCCTGAATATCATAGAAGTTAGCTCAGTCAAGTGCACCATTCCATTATCATCAAAAAAAAATCTTCAGTTAGGGGGTACACCGCATTATGTATGTTACGTGTACAAGCATACATTTACAATTATAGTGGAAAATCACAACATTTTAGTTGAGTGTATGTGAAGAAATTGCTCTTGCTATAACATAAAATCGATACGAAGTCGATAACATTAATTGCACAAATATAGAATCTCCGCATTTGTACTAATAACAAAAAAACTAAAAATTCAATATGAGTTTTATAATTTCACAATAATTTTTCAATTTCAATTTGGAAAACGACGATGCGACATCAAATGACGATTTGTTGAATGTTAAAATTATTTTTTTATGTTCTCAGTTACTTTTCGCTTTTAATATAAAATTGTATTTTGCGTTCGCATTTTGCTCGGAGTGTATTGCAGTAGGTACTAAAATTGCCAAATACATACTTAAATTCTTCCTTTATTTGCGATTGACTAACTATAGGTATATTCGTGTGCATTTGACACAAGTGATTTTATGCGTAAAACATGGGCTAATGGTAACATTATTTTGAAAATGTGTAGCTACATAGGTAATATAATATATAATATATCTTATTGTTACTAAATGCAAGTAAAATTAAACTATTAAATTTGCTTTAATTAAGTTTTTTTGTAATAGAATTTTTCCCGGTGAGAAACAGAGGTCGGATAGAGATAGGTACCTATTGTTGTGATATAAAGTTAATATATAATGATCCTAATAGATTAGTATTAAACTTGCAAAAAATTTTGATGTGGAACAAAAACTGTGAAAGCTCTTGTATAATCTTTAAAAGGTAACAATGTGGTAACACTGATAAACACTAATAAAATACTAGATATTTTCTAGTGGTAGTTAGGTACAGTTATATCTAATGATCTATACCAACATATAGTTAGGTAAGTAACTATATTGAAATTGTGCAAGCATATCTTCTTCAAGCGTCTTTTAAAAATTTACCTTTAAGAGAAATATTTACTAAGCCCACAGGTATAACCGACGTATCATTTTAGAATCAGTTTTGCATATTATTAGATATGGTCCAAGCGATAGCTAATAAGAGTGAGGAACTATCTAATAAATTTATTTTATTTTACATAAAATACATACAATGCCGCAAATGAATTATACATCTACATAATTATACAATCAAATGCATCGTATTCCTAAGTTAACTTTACAAGTTTCTTTTATCATAACATTTGGCATACTTACCTATATAGGTACTGAAGCTGCGTTCCGGTCACCGTTATGACAAAGGACCGTAACAGCAGCAATTATACAATAAAACCTCTTATATCCAAAAAAATGGATAACTTTCCTAAAATACCATAATCGCGGCATATGTAACGATGGCACGCAATGTACGTACTAGAGACCGCCGTATCGAGTACATGCGAGCAGCGCCTGCGCAAATGATCTTCACACGCCGCAAGAGCATCATACTTTTCGCACGTCGCAAAAATATTCACGCAATTACGTTAACAACCACTTATGTACGCCGCTCGTGTAATAAAACGGAAATGGATCCTATTCATAGACGGTAGAAAATTTCTATAGATTGATGAACCTTCGAGCTGTGATATTGTTCTGATTTTCAAATACCCTTTCGGAATTTGAGACTGTTTGTGAAGAGATTAAATTTTCAGTACTTTACAATCAGTTTGTTAACGGCGGTTATATTGACAGAGCGTGACTTTGTGATCATATGAACATGTGTTTGTGACATTGGGAACAGTTCGGCTGTCGTCATGAAATAATGAGTTTGGAAATTTTGGATGGATTTGTAGGTAAGTCAAAAAAATAACCTATATTTACTTGGTTACATCGACAGCGATATACACTTCAGTTAGTTTACGCTTACCCCAATGTAATAGTTGATTATAGTGATGGAAATAATTTATATTTTAATAACAATACTATTATTATAGATGCGAAAGTGTTTGTCGATCTGACTGTTTGTATATTATCTTTTCGGACATAGGTTATCTTGTAATTTGTATATTCCATGTTAGGCCGCCGTCGAGTAACTCGAGAGTACCTATAGCACTAAGTATAACTATAGCATAATACCTTTAGTACCATACTTTATGAATAACTAAAGAAAGCAGACGAATTCATGGGTAGGTTGCTTTAATATAAGAACCAATACGCATGTGTGTATTGGTTTTTTTTTGGTACACAATATTCCAAAATATCTCAGATATAAAATATCTACAATAGGTGGTTGGATAATCATCATCATTACATAGTATAAAACAAAGTCGCTGGGACTGTCTGTCCGTATGTATGCTTAAATCTATAAACCTATGCAACGGATTTTGTAGTGTTTTTTTAAATAGATAGAGTGTACTATCGTACTCTTTTAAATTCTAGAGGAAGGTTTATATATATAATATATGTACACCCGTGTGAAGCCGGGGCGAGTAGCTAGTTATATATGAATAGTATATGGATACCATAATAACATGGAAATGTATAATAACAAATATATAGAAATATATACCTGTTGCCCACCTACTTAGTCTAACTACCACTTTAAGATGTAGGTATAATTATTTACCATCACTATAATTGTCCTTAAAGGTAAGTCATTAAAAACTACTCATTGAGTTATGATGTATTGTAGGTACTAGATGAGATACCGCAACAGCAGACGTACTAATCTTTTGCGGCGCTTTAGCCACATTTTACTCGGTCACACGCTAGAAAAAAACCGGCTGACTACGAATCATACTCGCAATCAGGAATTCAATTTCAAATAAACTTTATGAAAATATTTTTTGCTTTATTAGATGGATCATTTAATATTAATTTCATTTACCTAGGAAACCTATGCTTATTATGTTTCTTTTATTAAATATGTATAACAGGATATCTATGTAATGAATATTAGGACTTTTCTAAGTTCTTACTAGTTATTAAAATATGAAATATGCCGCTATGACAGAGACGAAGTCACATTATATGTGTAGCGTACCGTAACTGTAAAACCTACATAAAATGCTCTGTGGTGTGTGTTAAGGTAGATACTGATTATAAGAAAAGAGTAAATGCAAATTAAGTATTTTCATTATTTTCCAATGCACATTGACGTATTTATACATCCGTGCGTGTCTTCTTTACGTTTTTATATTGTAGGTACGTAATATCTTAATGTTCATATTGCACTTTTGCGGTTTACTATATATAGGTTCTGAGTCCGAATCTGGCAATATCAAAAACTTTACTTGTAATATGTATTGACTGATACTAACACCAATAATAAATCAAATTCATCTCAGAGACGGCGGTAAGTTCGTCTCTGAATAAAGGATTTGTTATTTTTTTTATATTTTTTTGCTACGTTGGCACTGTTTTGGCGAAACGTGGGCATATCACATTCAACTACATATGTCGACAGTTGACGATGCTTCGGAGACTTCTGACTATCCCATGTGGGATAACATATATGTGTACGACGAGATAGTATATATGTATTTTGTTTTTATGATAATGAAGAAAATTCATTACACGAAATCGGAATTATTCATTACACGAGATTCGAATTTTCTCTTCGCTTTTACTGGTTATCAATTAAAAAATCCACGGCCCTAAAATTTGTAGTATTAATTACGACCATAAAATATATTTGGACAGGTTTGGAGAATCTATTAGCTTACTATTTACCTAGTTCGTAACAGTCGGTCACGATAAGCAAATTAGAAAGTAAAAAAATTTATAGCTCTTTAAATATTTAAATTAGACCGGTCTTATAAAGCAAAATATGGAAATAAAATTAGAAAGATGCCTTCTAGATCTGATGAAAACGTAATACTTTGTTTTCTTATATTTTGAATTTACGTGTTGTTTATCGGAATAATTATTGCCTTACAGATTACGTAGAAACTGATGTTCTGGGTTATGTTCCTCGTCGGTTAAATCCAGACTATTCATACTATTATAAAACCGAAAGAGTACATATGCATCTATATCTATGTTTGATATTTTTTCACTAGTAAATGGCAGAATGGATCCTAATGCAATTTCACGTGCAGGTACATTGTATTACGAGGAGTTATATTTTATTTAAGAAACCAGTCACAGCAGTAACAGTATGTAACAGCGTGTATAATATAGATGCAGTTACCACTTTCGATTATGTGGGTCATGAGGTATTACTTTAACTGCTATTAGCCCAACGATATTAGTATTAGATTTCTATACTTTATATTACATAATAACAATCATTGTATCTGTCCAGTTCATGTGTAGGTCATGTCATGATACTGATTGAAAATAATTGTTTGTGTATAATGAAAATCATTAACAGAGTATAATATAACTATCAATCTATTAAACGTCAATCAAGTTGACAAGATCTGTCGCCGTTAAACTGTTTAGTGAGTAAAAGGTGTGTTTTAACTTAAGTAGAGAAAAGGTTCTGAACTTGACTATGTTTAATATTGTGTTCAACAGTATGAACCAATTTTAGTGATACTTTTTTGCAATTTTGTCTATGAGTTGCTTCTGTAACAATACTTACGAGTATTCCGTTTTATCATCATTATGATCAATTTTGTTGTGTAGCAATAATATTTTATAGATACAGATTTATAAGCAGTTCGGAGCAATATGTGTAAGAATAACTGGATTATTTAAAATATAGGATCTTCGACAATACAATACGTACTACATACAATGCAATGAAATAAAAAAAAAGTTTCTTAAAATAAACTGCGTTCGAAATGAGTAGATAGTAAACCTATTTTGTAACTACATACACTAGTTGATCAAAACCGTAGGTAATATTAATCCTAAG